CACCCATGCACTGTTGAAAAACAGACCCCAACTTCACACCCAGATGCACCCAGATGAACCAAATTTTGTGACTCCCGCGTAGTTTCCCCAGCCTACAGTCTTCCCCCGAATACAACGGACGGTCATTATCGCTGAATTTAGACTGAAAGACTGACGGGAAACTACGCGAGATTTCCCTATACATCGTACGGTCTAAATTCAGCTATAACGACCGTCCGTTGTATTCGGGGGAAGACTGTAGGCTGGGGAAATTACGCGGGAGTCACAAAAACAGTTTGAATTTACACTTGGGCCCAAAACGAGTTTCAAATTGCCGGGAACCAAATTTTCTGATTCCCGCGTTTGGGGAAATTACGCGGGAGTCCCAAAAACAGTTCGAAATTACACTTGGGCCCAAAACAAGTTCCAAATAGCACAAAAATTGCCGAGAACCAAATTTTGTGATTCCCGCGTAACTTCCCCAAACTGCTAGGGGAAACTACGCGGGAGTTCCAAAAACAGTTCGAAATTACACTTGGGCTCAAAACAACTTCCAAATAGCACTCCCAGCAATGTATACAAGCCAGCTTTTCGGTCAGGTAGATTGCCCGGAATGCAATTTGAAACTCGTTTTGGGGCCAAGTGGGCCCAAGTGTAATTTCGAACTGTTCTTGGGACTCCCGCGTTGTGTCCCAACTTTCCCGAATCAAATAATTGAATTACAAAATAAATCAATTCTGAATTACCGGGTGTCAGTTCCATTTATCCCATCTCAGGCCTGTCGCCCTTTAGAGTGAAAAAAAAAAAGGTCGATAGTACCTGGTACAACCCTGATTCAGAACTACCTGAGTTCGAACTCCTGTGGAAGCAGATAGAGTTAAATACTACAATTCTGCATCACCTACTGTAACAGTGGGGCCGGTCAGTTCGATGACGATATGTCAAGGTCGTCACCCTGCCCTAGAACGACAACGAAAGTTTTTCTAACCCCAAGTTTACGAAAAACCAGCCGATTGTATCTGTCCGTAAAACCAGCCGATTGTATCTGTCCGTAACATCCCCCTTCTCTCTCTCTCTCTCTCTCTCTCTCTCTCTCTCTCTCTCTCTCTCTCTCTCTCTCTCTCACACACACACACACACACACACGTCTGTCCGTAACATCCCCCTTCTCTCTCTCTCTCTCTCTCTCTCTCTCTCTCTCTCTCTCTCTCACACACACACACACACGGAGGGAAGACAAATGAAAGGCCTCTCTCTCTCTCTCTCTCTCTCTCTCTCTCTCTCTCACACACACACACACACACACACACACACACACACACACACACACACACACACACGGAGGGAAGACAAATGAAAGGTAAACACACACACACACACACACACACACACACACACACACACACACACACAGACACACAGAAGGAAGACAAAGGAAAGGTACACACACACACACACACACACACACAGAAATGAAAGGTACACTCGCGAGTCAACACTGCTTGCTGACCGTCATTTTGACGTTGACATGCATGTCTATGGGAGAAGGGAAGATTCGTACCTGACGTAATGCAGCTGATGAAGAACGCGTCTCGAACCCGACAGCCAAATCAGTCGACTGATTGGTACTGCCGACTACAGTGACACGAAACGCAAACAGAAGCTACCGACGAAGAAGGGATGGATTGCATATGATCGCGGCTGATTGGCGGTCTTGGTTCGGGAGTCGAACGACCGAAACAAGTCTCTGACACTGAATCAAAGCGCGCGTACGCGAGATACAGCTGCTGCAATCTCCTTGTTACGTATGATGCCTGCGAGAATCTGTCCATATTTATATAGGCCCTTCTCGAGTGACCGGCGATCGTGCTAGCCGCGGATATAGGCAGGCCTGAGGGGCCCCTGTTGCAAGAGTGCCCGCCCTAAGTGAAGGCGGGCCTAACATATCACAAGAGGCCTTTGACTGTCAATTTTATATTCGGGGTCCAGGCAGTTGCGAAGCGCCAGTTGGTTGAGAGAAACACAGGCCGAGCAACCAAGACATTTCCACGGCCTTCTGGGCCTTTCCGAAKAATGCAGGCCCTGGGCGAGAAAAGCAGCCTCATACACTGACAGTTGGGAGGCCCAACCGAAAGAGGCCCCGTTGATGCAAAATAGCACGCAGCATCCTGGGGCCTGCCGGAAGCTTCTGGCCCAGGCCCAGTCCAGCCAGGCTCCGAAGCAGGCAGGCTCTTTCCATATAGGAAAGAGCTCGCCACTCTCAGCCTCATGTATGCTAGCGGCAGCGCTGCTGGAGCAAAGGCTCGTGGGCTGCTGCTGGCGCTGAAAGGCGAGATGCAGCACGTGCGGTTGTGCAGGGAAGAAGGGCGCTGCTGAGGGCAGTGCCCTAGCCCAGCCTCCATAGCTGGCAGGGCTTGGAAGTACAGTGAGGCACAAGGGTGGTCTTCGGGTGTACAACCAGGGAAGACGTGGGAGAGAGTCAAGGGAAAGGGAGAAGGATGATGATGATGATGTGAGGGCACATACCTGGTATTGGCAATGGTTCTGCATGGGCGACATCTTCAAGTACTTCGGGTGCTGCTGACGTCAACAGTTGCATTGTCAATTAGTAGGCTGGTAGTAGTTGTGTAGGGAGTAGGCTGGGCCGAGTGCCAGATAGGGAGATAGCGACTGGATACATATGTTGGTGGTGGCGGGAGCAAGCTCTCATTGACATTGGTTTTCAGTGCTACTATTCTCCAATGGTGTCATATTGGTGCAATGCTACTCTCTGAACACTGAGTTACGATTTGGCTTTCAATGTGATGGTGTAATCTGGAATTGTCATCTCGCTGTTGCTCATTTTCCTTGCAATTTGGTATAGGAGCTGGTTCAAACTGCGCTCATTGGTTCTTCGCAATAGCTGTTCGGTGCTTCGCATGAGGTGTGGGGCAGTGATAAGGCTTGGGCGTTGAACATAAGGCGGCCCAGGGTCTTGTGGGCGTGCTAGGGAGCTATGTGGTGACATTAGGCATGCATGCTGGATGATGAGAGCTCGCTGATGTGGCATTTAAGCCGAGGTGGAACTGCATTCTGCTGTTGCTTCTGCCAAGGCAAAGACCGGTCATCATAAATGCACATCATTTTGCCGGTGAGAAATCTGTGGTTGGGGGCAGCATTATGAGGTACGTTGCTTCCTTCCTTATCTACCCTCTTCATTGCTTCCTACCGTGAGGAAGTGAGTCTTGTCTTGGGAGTCCTCTCGATGTGAGGTGTCGCGAGTGCTCAACCTTGAGAGTCGACATTCTTCCTGGGCAGCAAGCTGGTGGGAGAGGGGCGAAGCCTCTGAAGGGCCCTGGACGAAGCACTCGGGTCACCGTCACCATGCCAACCCGCTGGGACTAGTTACTGTACACACATGCTTTGCCGCAAGTCCTCGGTTCTGCTGCTGCGCAATAGAGGTCATGCAGGGCATGCCATCCCTTTGAACAAACGCTTACCAGACCGTCTCTAAATATTTCTGGCGGGGAATCGGTGTTGATTCTGGCTGTGATCGCCGTCCTGTCTGCGACGTTAAATAATTCCTGAGGAGTTACGGGGGATCTCCTTAAATGCCTCCTGATCAGCTAGATCAAACCGGGTGTAAGGCTCGTTGCATGCGAGGGTAAATAATGTGCAGGGGCTGGCAGGTTCGGCGTTGACTTGGGGCATAGGGGTGGGCTGGATTGCACACCTTTAGACACAATGCTCAACCAGATGCTCAGGACGTTGACACGAAGTGACAACTCAAGAAGGATACAGGGGGAGGGGGGGATTCCGATAACTGTTCACAGTGGCAAACAATAGATAATCTGCCATCCAGTATACATCTCCAACAGGAGATATTATTTTTATTTTTGATTATTTAGTTGTTACAGACTTAACTAACAACTGACAGACAGTTGCAGACAGATTAGTTATTTGCTGCATTGCAATCTGTTCTAAAGTAATCTAAAAATAGATGTGATATTCCCTGTAGGTTCTGACATTAGTTGTGACTACATCACCTAACTGTTTCTGTTCAGGCCGACTGAAATTAGTTGTTATTTGTACTCGGTTGTGTGTCAGGCTAAGGTAGGATTCAGTGTGGATTCTAGTTTAAATCACACACACTGTAGCTCATGAGTGATGCAAGCACTAGTGAGGAGGAGCTGTTAGTGGACGACCGTAGGACTACTCGTGGAACTGCACGCAGTCGACCTTTGACTTTCCTAGAGTTAGGGTCAGGAGACGAGAGGAGATTGCGGAGAGAGGCTAGAGAGAGAGCAACAGCAAGAAGAGTGAGGGTGGTTGAGGATAGTGCCAGGTCTAGAACTATAGCTAGTACCGGTACAACCATGGCTACTTTCTCTACCATGTCGCAGGCTTCTTCACAGGCCACTTCGTCAGGAGTTAGTCGGAGTGGTTCTCAGGGGTCCATTAGCCGGAGTGCTGGCTTGCGAGTCAACCAGCGGACTCAACTCACGCTGGAGGATTATGAAATCCTCCAAGCAGGAGAACTTCACGATGAGCTACAACGGCAATTAGAATGAGGCAGCAGAGAGGAGAAGGAAAGCAATCATGATTCATGAGGAAAGCTAGACTAGGTAGTAGGAGAGAGGAGCTAGGCAGATTAGAAGCATTAGATGAGTCAGCACTTGACCCTACGATACGAGCGTTGCGTAGCTCACATCTTTGTGTGGCAGAAGCAAAGGCTGTCCAACAGGAAGTGCTGGATGAACTAATGGCAGGCCAGAAGCAGATTTTGGTTGCACTGCAGGCTCCTCGTCCCATGATGAGGCAGCCTCAGTATGTTGTAGCTCCCCCTTCGGGTGCGGGTCCATCAGTGACGTTGTCGCCGGTAGGGTCTCAATTCTCACCTATTTTTGGCATGCCCCCTCCAGGTGGTAATGTAGCAACTAGTGGTCCGGTTCATAGAGTCTCAATTGTACCATCGACGACAATGGTTACTACAGTCCCCCTGTCAAGCCAGGCCCAGGTTAGTGTGCAACAACCTGTTTCGGTTGTTATGCAGCCACTGCAGCAAGCCCCTGGGCCCATGCAGCCAATGCAGTGGATGCCCAAAATACCCTTGTTGAGTCCTAAGCCCTTCTCCGACGACAGGAAGAAGGATGAGGATTTGGATACCTGGGTAAGGATGGTTCCTACTTATGTAAGGCACAAGCTTACCAAGCCTGAGGAAAAAGTTGTAGTGGCTGCCTCCTTTCTAGAGGGGTCAACAACTCGCTGGTTGAATGGCCTAGTGCAGCAGCAGGGCTACGGTCAGAACTTGGATGCCTGGGCCCAGGCCCAACCATTGGAAGAGTTCGTACGGTCCGTGTACAACAGGTGGCATAACCCTCAAGGGGCTCAAAAGGCCACCGATGCAATCAACAGTCTTTGTGCCATAAGGTACAAGAATGTTCGTGAGCTAACGGACCTCGTAGAACGTTTGCTTGTAGTACCCGGTATGCGCTATGATCAACAGGTACTCCTTACGGATTACCTTAGATGTCTACCTTCAGAGGTTAGGACAAAGTTGGTAGACGAGGCCTACGCCGAACAACACAACTTCGCGTCATTCAGCAAGAAGGTCTTGGACATAGAGACAAAACTGGGATCTGCGCATCAGAGTCAGGGGGATGGTAGGAAGAAGAGACTTCCCCAAGACTGGAAGAAGAAGGGTCAGTTAATGTTCGTTGACCACGATGGTCAAACGACGGAGATTGACGAGTTCCCATATCTAGAGGATGAGGAAGAGCATGATGAGGCCAGCGAGACTTCGGATGGGGGAGTCATGACACCCATCAAGGAAAAGGCTAGGGGGACCGGGAAGAAGAAGGTAGGCCGGTCTACGGGTCAGAGCGACCAAGGCACGCCCGCTTGGGTGAAACTTGGTTTAGAGTATGAGGTGTGGAGGGGCCAGGTTGTTAGGGGTACATGCATGAACTGTGACAACTATGGCCACACGTCACGAACGTGGCGAGGCAAAAAAGTCCTGACGAGGGTAGCCTCACCAACGGTGGTGGGACTATCTTCGAACTCTGGCGGTGCTTCTGCGAGCACTTCGCAGGGAAACACCTTAGGCCAGTAGGAGTTTTAGCCGCTCTTACTGGCGCTGAAGTGGTAATGTTGCCTTCGCCACTTCAGGAGTTGGTCAAGGCTAGTGACCCACGTATCGCCCCGCAGACACATTCAGACCCACCGACGCTCTGTTCGAGAAATGTGTCTGAGGCCCTAAAAGAGTTAAAGACTAAGTGGTCAGGGAAGGACTCCAGAGACTCTTGGGCGATGATCAATAGAGGTCCAAAGGGTGAACATTTCGTGGTAGAGGTTGATGTAGGTGGCCGTAAAGTTGGCGCCTTCGCAGACATAGGCTCTACATGAAACTTCATCAGTCGTGCTTATATGGATAGACTGCGCTTAAGGAACCAAGTGCAATGGCTTAGCAGAACTGTAGCTTCTACGCTGGCCAACAAGCACCAAATGTTGGTAAAAGACTATGTCAAGGACGTAGGTTGTACCTTCTCCTATGGAGGAGGGGAAGTGAGTCATAAAATCTCCGTCCTGGTTAGCGACGAGCTGCCCTTTGACATGCTCCTAGGTATGTACTACCTCGAGGTCGCGCAACCACAATTTGACTGGGATAGAAAGGTGTTGATTCACAAATTGTCCAACGGTAGATCTGTTAGATTGCAAAAGTTTAAAACTAGCAGTCTGATAGAAACTACGGTTGCATGTGTGCATCATATTTTTATAACTATTATAAGCAGCATCGTGAGGAGGGCATGTATCTAGTATTTGTGTCTGAGAAAGGGGAGGCCGTAAAAACACCCCGAGAGATAGAATCAGTCATCGCTCAGTATTCTGATCTTTTTGAGGAGCTCACGGGCGTGCTAGAAAGGGAGGTTATCCATGCAATAG